GAAGGGGATGGTCGGGCAGCCAGACAGAGAGCCACGCCAAGTGCTGTCACGTGGTGCCAAGTGCCCAGGACTCCAGACTTTCAGGGAAGAGAAGAGGCACTGTGGCCTGGGGTGGTTCAGGAATGCTCCACTGAAGAGGCGGTCCATGAGATCAGGGCAGCTCTTATATAAGCCAGGAGAAGAGAGGATGACAGAGCACTAGGACATGACATGGCTATAAGTGCTTGGGAAATACATCTTCCCCACTCCTCAAGCCCTACCCGGGGCTTATCACTCATCCCTCCAACTCTGCAGTTGGTCCAAATTGGCATCCTCAGCCACAAACATTAATGGAGCACCTATTATGTGCCGGGCCCTGGGGAAATAAATATGAGTAAGATTTGATCTTGTTCGAAGTTCCTTATGTGAGAGTTTTTCAAACTACAGTTGTCTTGGTGAATCTCTGTTATTCTGGTTCGGTAGGATTGGACTGGAACCAAGCTGCCATCTGCCCTTTTCGATAACTACTTCTGCAATTCTGATGCCCAGTCTTGGTGAAGAATCCCAGGCTCACGAGCAGGTGTAGTCACTGCCTCTTTCTTCCAACTCCCATTGCCCTCCAGTTCTCCGTCCTCTCCGTAGGCTCTCCTTCAAACCCAAGCAGGTGGATGGGGTGGGTGGCTGGGATGCAGATGACACCTGTTCACTCTTGGGACCGAGGGTGGACAAATTGGCATAAGTATATAACAGGAAGGTAGATTTTGATTCAAAATAAGGGCAAGGCTCCTTATCACAGTAAGAGTTGGCCAACAGTCTGTCCTGTGAAGTAATGAGCTTTCTGTTGTGGGGAGCCTCGGGCCACCTCCCTGAGCTGCTGCAGGCAAAGCCCTTCTCTGGGTGGGCTTGAATGCCACTGCTCAGCTCTGGTCTGCGGAAGAGGAAGCCATTCTGTTTCTTCTTTTCACATCTGTTCCTATCCCATTTCATCTTCTGAATTCTTAATGGCTCATGCTGTGTCTGTCAGAGATGCTCACACACTCAGGACGCACCTGCTGAACGTAGGCCACACATATAACAAGTGATTTGCCTGGAGTCTGCCGACTGCACAGGCACCGAGCTCATCCTGCTGAATTTTCCTATGAAGCCAGTTCTCCCACCATCCAGTGTGTGAGTTCCCATGTGGATGTGCGTGTGTGCATGTGCGTCCGTTGTGCTTGCACCTAAGTGTACCTGGAGCTGCAGATCAAAGTAATAGCAAAGCAGTTTGCTCAGTGGGGTGTGTGAATGGAGGAGTTGCTGTGGCCTTGGTTACGGGGAGGATTGGTCCCCCCTCTTGTCTACCGCCTCCCCCTTCCCCTCTTCCATATCCCCCCTAGCCCCAGGCTCCCTCCTCCAGGTTAATTTCCCTGGCCGCAGCTGTGCCTCTATCCTCCCCCTCCCCCCCTCCTCTTCCTCCCTCTGTCCACCACACACATGGGCTTGAGTTATGTGCCTCCTGTTCTAATGAGATAAACAATATAACTCTCATGGGGCTCTGCTCATCCCTCTATAAGTGGAACTCCAGGGCTGAACGTGTTGGCCCTGTAAAGGCACCCTGGTGCCTGCCAGCCCAGGGAGGAGGGCAAGGAAGGGGGCGGGAGCCCTGAGAGAGTTCTTGGGGCCATTTGCTTGTTGATACGAGTTGAAGCAGACATCAAAGGCAGGCCTGTTTCCACCCTCGTGGCTAAAGGAGCAAAGAGCAGCCTTGTCATGTCACGTGGGCAGAGAGTCCAGGCTCGTCTAACTCAGCTAATTCATGATAATTAATAACTGACATTTGTACAATGCTTCATGGTTATAAAGAGCTTCTTCTTGAATATGAGCTAATCCCCACGACAGTCCTTGTAAGGTGGGTATTATTACCGCCCGTATCTTACAGGCAAAGAGACAGGCTCAGATAGGTGTGGTGAGATTTCCAGGGTAGCAGGGAATGGGGGTATGAGGACTCGCCCTTGTCCTCTGCACTGTGGAGCTTCTCCAATCTACTAGAGAAAGTTAAAGAATGAAATAAAGACAATCCCTTCTTCTGGACATTCAAACTACTTACTAAAATGGACTCTCCTGGGAGAGTGGACCTGCAGCCACAGGCTGAGTGGCCCCAGGCAGCTGACCAACAAGTGTGGTGACCGCAGTCTCAGGGAGGGTGGAAGACTTGGACGAGCGCTGACACTTTTGACCTCTTGTCACTTAGACCTTTTGCGTATGCTGGTCTGGACCAGTTCCTTCTCACTAACCTGCTTTTGGTCAGGTTGGAAATACCATGAAGCAGCGCGTGGGGCAAGAAAGAGCCTAAGGCACGGAGGCTCCGGTCTTGGCATGGGTGGGGTGGGTTCTGTGCTCCGTTCAAGGGGTCCTTCCTGGACGGTTTGGATGTGGATGGAGGAGTCTCCTGGAGCCAGGAACAGCAGGGGCTAAGGGTCATTCACTTCCCGCATTTCTGAGGCTGGTTCAGTTCTGGTTGAATTTATTTGATAAGTATTTCTTGATATGCCCTCCAGGCACTGTGCTAAGCACTGGGGATACTTGAGGTGGACATGGTTCCTGCCACCCTGGATCTTATAAAACCAGTGGAGATGACAGTCTAGTAAGTAGGCAGTTAATGACAGTGGCTTGGGAAAAATACAGGGAACCTTGGGAATCTACTGGAAAAACCATTAGACTAACTAGTCTTGGTACATCAGAGAGGACATCCAGGCAGTAACTAGATGATGCTTAGACATCCAGAGGCTCTTTGTCAGCTATTATAAAAAGCTATAGAGTTCTTAAATAGAAAAGAGTTGCTCAATTCCCCGCCTACCTACATTTGGATTGGGTAGCTCTGGCATGGATTGGGGGCATTGGTGTTAATAAGAAGTTCTCCAGGTGATTTTGGCTTCAGCCTGGATTGAGAATTGCTAATCCAAGATAAGTGGGATTATGGGACCAGTTCTGGGATATAGAGCAGCAGGCCAGCCCTTGTACTTGGCCTTCTCTGGGATCCTGGGGAACACCAGCCCCAGAAGTGGCCAAAACATCTGGAAGGGACTCTGACTCAATGTACCCACTCAGGAATTATGAGGTGAGAGGTGACATGGCCCTGGAGTGAAACACACCAGAAACATCAAACTATTCCCAGTGATGCCTTCCCTCAAACAGAGGTCAAAACTGGACCTCATATGGGAGCGAGACCAAGCTTATTTTTTGGATTCATTGTGTCTTCTATAAATCAGTCACAAGTCTGGTCCTCAGAGCTCAAGGCACTCAGAGCTTCAGGATCCTCCTACTGTGCGGAAGACCTTACAGTTATCAACGAAGTCAAGTATTAGAAGGACTCTAGGACATGATGAGCCCTTAGCTCATAACATCAGAGATATTTCTGGAGCCTGTAGGCTCTATCACCCTTGATGGTTTCTAAGAATCAAAGGGGGAAGGGTCAGAACCTCCAGCTTGTTCACAGCCTGGCAACCTGTGGGAGCAGCTGTGTGGTTAAAAATGAAACTTAGCACATAGAAAGAATTGGAAAATTTTGTTTCCTTTAACGCTGGTCCTCTGCTTTGGACCCAAATCTATGCACGGGTAGAGATGACAAGTACAAATGAAAAATGAATGAATGGACATGTAGCAATGAAACTTTTGTAGGTTTTTCTCTGAAAAATGCAAAAATGAAGCCGTTTTTTCTCTTAACTTTTAAACCCCCCAAAATGGAAGACAGCAGATGGGAATAGGGTCCTGATGTTTTCTACTCATGGTCCTAGGTCTAGGAAGTGCCCCTCTCATAGGAGGCTGCCTGTCTCTAACAGCTGTCACATGCCATGTTTACTACAGAAGACCGAGTTGTGACTTCCATGAAAGTGAACTGGAACATATTCTTCCATTCACTCACTCACTCACTCATTCTGCAAATGTTTAGTTTGATTCTTCTCTGTGTCAGCCACAGTTCTGGTTCTGGGGATTCTGACCTGAACAAGACAAAGTTCCTGTCCTCACCAGGCTTTCACTCTAGCGGGGGTGGGTCAGTGGGCTTGCTGGTTCATTTTGGGGTGCATTGAGCAGTATTTTTAATCTGCTAACCGCCTAACCAGTCTTCAGCCCTCTTCCTCTCCCCTCAGCCTCCACCCGCTGCCCTTTTCTCTGGGAACAAACCAGGGTCTAGTGCAGGGAGTCCACATTCCTCCAAGGCCTCAGGCTGCCCAGCATATGCCGCAGGAGCCGTGAGACTGTTGTCTGTTGAGCTGGAAGGCTCCTCATGGGGTGCTCGGCATGACAGATGCTGCTGCTGTGGAGCTTTCATGTCAAAAGCCAAATCTAAATGGTGATTCTTGTTGGGAGACCATGTGACACATAAGGCCAGCCGCTGAACTCCTGCCCATTTTTTTTTTGGTAACGCCCAGGCAGGTGGGCAGGGCTGTACAGGTATGCTGGCTATGCAGGCTTATATTCTGATGGAGGTGGCACAGGGCTCCCTTTGGCTTCCGCGAGCTGCCAGCAGCTATCAGTGGGTGGAAGAAGCCAGTGGGTAGGAGATCTAGCGCCTTGATCCTGTTTCCTTGAAATGTTGCCCAATCCAGGCTGTCCGTAGGTAGACAGAATGACTTCTGCTGCTCCCCCTTGAAGGGAACCTGCTTGACCTGGACAGAGGGGCAGTTGATGGGCGGTAGCTGGATATGCACTGCCTTGGAAACACTGTGATGAGGGTAAATCTGGAAGAGTCCTTCTTGTGGTTTGGAGGTCCCTCTGATTTTCTTCCTAGGCCAAGAGAGCAGAACTGATTTTGGTCACAGTGATGGCTCATTTTGGCATGTGTCTACTGAGGCAGCATGGTAGAGCAGACAGAGCAAGGGTCCTGGGGTCAGATGACCTAGATTCTGCCTGGGCTCTACCGTCTACCAGCTGTGTGACCTTGACAAGTCACTTCACGTCTCTGGGCTTCACTTTCCTCACTGTGAATGAGAAGGTTAGATCCAGCCTGGAGCATTTAATCTTTACACTGTCTCTGTCCACAGGCCTCGCCCCGGGCCAGCTATACACGTACCCTGCCCGCTGCTGGCGTAAGAAGAGACGATTGCACCCACCTGAGGATCCGAAGCTGCGGCTGCTGGAAATAAAACCTGGTCAGTGCCCTGTGGAGCTTGGCTGGGCCAGCGATGGGAGAGGTCGGGGGTGCTGGGCTGGCTGAGGACAAGGTTGCTCTGCCGCTTTGTCCATAGAGCTGAGTTTTCCAGGAGAGTGAACGTGCCTACATGGCGCTTTCAGGAATAAACACATCCACATGCCCCCAGCCTCACCAAGCTTCTCTCCCTCTAGGTGTTTCGGGCCTTCCCCTTCCTCTTGTCTTTCTCTTGCCACCCCAGGAGAGGAGAGCAAGCAGGCACAGTGTGGGAACAGGCCCAGGATGAATGACTTTCCCAACAGAGCTGAAGGAGCTGCAGCTCTTTTGGGCCGGGTGATACCTTCCCATGGCCTCAAGTAAGGAAAACTCGTCCTAGGCTGTTTCAAAGGAGGACAGTGCACCATGTACCCTCTCCCACCCTTACTGGAAATGAGCTAATGGAGCATCTTACACGAGTGGGGCCAGTCACTAAAAACAGAACCCATCTTGGACATGGAAATGAGAGAGTTTGAGTTCAAAATTTGCCTCTAGGTGATGTTGATTGCTTTGTGGCTGTGCAGAAGGAATTGGTTAGTTTTCTTGACTACTGATCTGTTATTACACTTCTGAGCGGGCGGCAGTCTTCAGACCTTGCTGCAGCAAGGCCAAGTGATTGCCCTGGGTCCTTAGCTTTAAGGGAAGGTCTGGTTTGGGGGATGCCAGAGCTGCGACATGACTCAGAGTGGTGGCAACAGTGCTGTTAAGTGGGGCAAAGGCAGAGCTGACATGCCCCCTCCCACTGTCATCAAACAACACAGGCCTGTCAAGGCTGGCTGCCTGGCAGCGTTACCTCACTCCTGCCTTTTCACACTGGCTCCTTAGGCTGTGTTTTTTCTGCAAAATCTCTACTTAACGGTTCTTCGGGATGCTTTCTCACAGTTCCCTTGTTAAGCATGCTGCAAATTTTCACCCTAACTCACATTTCACTTGTGCAAAAGTTTTATTTATTAGGGGCGGGTGCTCCACCCAAGTTCTCAAATGGCCTTGCACAATTTACAGACCCTTACAGACACTCCAGGGTGATGACTGGGGCTGTCCCAAACTCCCTGAGATGCAGGCTGTAGGAGAGCCAAGTCTCCTGGATCACGATTGTGAGCCACATGTGTCATTTTACATTTTCTAGTAGCCACATTTAAAAAAGGAAAAAGAAACAGGTGAAATTAATCTTAACAATAGATTCTATTTAACTTAACATATGAATAATATCATTTCAGCGTGTAATCAGTATAAAAATTATGAACGAGGTATTTTACTTTTTTTGGTATTGTTTTTTAATTCCATTGTGTATCTTTTAACACATTTCATTGCAAACTAGCCACATTTCAAGTGCTTATTGCCACACGTGGCTAGTGGTCCCCATATTAGCCAGAGTGGTTCTAGAATTACACTCAAAGCATAATCCAGGGCTTCCCTGGTGGCGCAGTGGTTGACAGTCCACCTGCTGATGCAGGGGACACAGGTTTGTGCCCCGGTCCGGGAAGATCCCACATGCCGCGGAGCGGCTGGGCCCGTGAGCCATGGCCGCTGAGCCTGCATGTCCAGAGCCTGTGCTCCGCAATGGGAGAGGCCACAACAGTGAGAGGCCCGTGTACTGCAAAGAAAAAAAAAAAAAGGATAATCCAGTTAAGGATTACCTCATCACTCATCTGTGCCACTTCCAAGAGACCAGGACTCAGACCACTTCCAGATCTGGGACAACAAAGGAGGAAGCCCATACCTCCAAAATAAATTGTTCGTATTGACAATCGTTTATGTTTAATAAAGAAGCTGTAGATGGTGTGGAGTCATGCCGTACTGACTTGTGGTCCGGCCACCTGTAAGTCTTCAAAACCAGTGTTTCTCAAACTTCAGTGTGCGTTCTGGGGATGCAGTCCTTGGGATCTGATAAAATGCAGATTCTAACTCAGCAGGTCTGGGGTGAGGACCAAGATTCTCCATCTCTACCAAGCTCCTAGGTGATGCCTGTGCTGCTGAGCTCCCCTTGACAGGCTCTAGGAATGCAGTTATGTCTAGGATTCTTGGAGCCTCCCTTGGGCTCTACCATCAGTAGAGTTCTCAGAGGAGAGAGTTCCCCTGACTTGTGAGAGACTGGACACCGGCCTGGAGGGGAATTGTCTCAAGGCATGAGTTTCCTTCCATGTCAGACCTTTCTATGCATAATAAGGAGATGCCACAAGCAATTTGTCATGCCAGCACCCGGTTTGTCCCTCCTGTCTTCCTTTGCGTCCCTGCCTGAGTCCAGCCAGTGGCGGGCAGCTTTCAGCAACAAAGGCCAGGGTTAAACGTGGCTTAGACTTGTCCTTGACCCCAGGTCTTCAGAGCGGAGAGCTTTGTCAGGAAACCAGGTCAGGGCAAGGGGAGGGGGTGTCCACGCAGGAATCTGAGGGGCCTCGGAGCAGGTCTGAGGGCAGGGCTGCAGAGCCCCCGCCCAGCACAGAGCTCATCTATGGCACCACAGGGTGGCAAGTGGGGAGCCCATCATGGCTGCTGTGAAGTCGTTTGTTCCTGGGCTAAACTTACACTGATGGAGTCCTCCCTAGGCCTGCAGTCCTCAGCCCATCTCCCTCACTGTGAATATGCCATCCTGCCTATATTTCTTTACTACTTGCTGAAAATAAAAATGTGTCTGTGTGTGGGTGGGATGAGGATGACAGCTGGGGCGAGCTCTTTGGAATTTGAAAGCATTCTCAACGTCCCTGGACCTATGTGTTTCTCACGCCTGACATCACCCCTCCAATCAGTCCTGAATAAACATCTTGCAAACCTCCCACTTGCCTGGGCATCTGAAGGACAACACACGCAACATTATTTCTCTCCGCTGACTGACAACGGAGTTCAGCGCTCTCTGCAGCTTGCACCTGGCTGCAGAGGTGCATGCAAGGTGTTTCAGGGCACAGCCATCACAACTCAGGCAACGTGAAGAGGGGCAGGAGCCTGGTGCCAGAGAGGGGCCTCCCCTGGACCGTTCCCCCAAGAATGGAGCTCTGCGCTTGCAAAGGGGAAGCTGAGCTGGCAGGAGAGAAAGGTGGATAGTGAATATCCACCAGAAGGCCCTGAAGCCGGGCAGATGTTGGGCAAAAGCCAGCTGATTAAAAAAGAGCCTTTAATTTCACTTTTTGTTTTTGAATGAGGAAAAAGGGCTGGGAACAAACTTTTAACTTGTGTCCTTCTGGGTTAAATCCTCAGATAGTCTGCTTCGATCAGTTTAGCATCTTCTGACCCCAGACCTTTTGGTCCCTGTGGTCTGGAGCAGATTTTATCTTTGTTTTAGAGATTGGGAAACTGTGGCACTGAATTAGGAAGTTAATTTCCCAAGGGGCTATCAGTGGTGAAGCCAAGGAAAAGAACCCTATGGGGGAACCTGTTGGAACTGGCGCCATGTTGCTCCAGGACTCAACACGCACATTCATCCTGGTGTCTCAGACCTGTAGGGCTCCCGGAATGTACCTGAGGCCTTGTAATGCCCTTCCGCTCCGGGACACTTAGGGAGCAGCCTGGCTCTTTGCCACCCTTGCCAAATTCCAAGGGTGATGGGAAGGAAGGCAGCCAGGAATAGGGTTCTGGTTCTTTCTCTTCGTTTTTTTTGGCAGCCACTCAGTGACTGGGCATGAATGACCGGGATAATCACCACCCTACCACATGTTGGGGGAACATGAACAGTCAGGCAGGGACCCTCAGGGGATGGTAGGCTAGGGTACGGCCCCAAAGCAGAGGGTGCCATAGCTGGCCAACAAGCAAGTCACAGGGGCCCTCGGAGGGGTGCCCCCCAAGGGGGCGGTCCAGGCAGAGGCCTGAGTCCCACCTGTGAGGGCAGCGGTGGAGAGGCCTGCTTTGCGTGCCTAGGGTGCTGTCCCTGCTGCACTGAACTGCCAGGACTCTACAGATGGGAGCAGGCTGTGGCCAACTTCCCCAGCTTTTGAAAATCCTGCATCTTAATTAGTTCCCTACTGCTTTTGTACATGGCCCACATTTTAATAATCTCCGGGCTTCTTCCACCGTTTTCTCTCTGATGTTCGGTGCGATTTCTCTTCTCCTCGAGGCAGTCCCCCCAACTCCTCCAGCACCCTCCCAGCCCGGGAACAACTTACGGAACGCTGCCGATGTGCCAAGCATGTAGCCTGAGATCGATGAGCCTGTCAGCTGGCTCCCTCTGCCCCCGCCTCCCCGTCTCCCGTGTGCTCCTCACAGGGATGAGCCAGGTGGTGTGGGCAAGACTGGGGGAGGTGGGGGCAGGGACCCGTGGAGCCCCCAGCCAGGTGTGAGCCAACGGACAGCGTGACCTTCCCCTGGCCCACAGAGGAGTCTGGCTGTGTCCTTCCAAGGGGGAAGGACGCTGAACTCTCCCACCCCATATGTCAGTGCTTATCTGTCTCTGCGAGGGGGTTCCTTGAGCGTGGTATGGCGGGGAGAATGGATGCCTTCAAGTGCATCAGGGGGAAATGACCAGTCATTTATCTCTTTCCTGCAGTGTCAGAGCTGCAGCCATCCATCCTGGAGGCCGGCAACAGCAGCTTTTTCACAGCTCTTGTTGGCCTCGTGAGCTGGAGAGAGGTGGGCAGGCTGCTCCGGCCCCTGCTTTGTGCCCTCCTGGCAGTCTGGGGGAAGGCGCTGGGTCCGGGGGACTGGGCCTGGGCCTATGACACTGCTTGAGCCTCGCAGGGCTCTGGGAGCCTGGGCTGGCCCAGGAAATGGGCGGCAGCTGGGAGTCGGCTGGGTGGCGGCGTGCACAGCTGCTGCAGAGTTTCCATGGCTGGGTTTTTCAGCTGGACCTGGGGGAACCATGTTTAGAGCGTAGGTTGTAAGGCTGTCGCCCTGTTACGCCAGGGCCTTTTTACTTGTATCTCTCCCGCTGGAAGGCACACATTTTGAGTGCAGAGGCCCACCCAATCCTTCATCTGTATCCCCAACACCCAGCACCGGACTTGGCACATAATAGGTGGACAGCAAAGATTTATTAAAGGG